CCCCAGCACCACATGCCAGCCAGCCCCGCCCCCTGGTGGGCTGAGCTGGCCACACACACACAAATAAATAAATAAATAAAATTTAAAAAAAAATAAAAATAAAAATAAAATAAAATAAAAATAAAGGAAATACATTCAGTATCTTGTTTCAAAGCAGTCCAAGTTTTGCATTTTACTTTTTAAATTTCCAAGTAAATATATATCAATCCTTGTCCGAAGCACACAGTGGTTTTGTATTAACGGTTTGGTTTTTTTTTGTGGAACTGGGGATTGAACTCTGATCCTTACATTTGCCAGTCAAGCGCTTATCCTACTGAGCCATCTCCCTGGCCCCAAACAAGATTTTTTTTTTTTTTTGGCAGAACTGGGGATTGAACTCAGGCCCTTGCGCTTGCCAGGGAAGCACTTATTCCACTGATCCATCTCCCCAGATCCATGTATTAATGGTTCTTAAGAAGAAAAATATTTAAAAAGGCATTCTATAAGTGATATATAAATGTTGAAGGATTTTAAAATTTTTTAAATGTATAGTAAGGGTGAACGGTCTAAGCAACCTGTAAAATATTAAATGCCCCCAAAAGCACTTACCATTATTTAACTACATCTCCAAAAACAAAGTTACATAAACCCATGCAGGTGTGAAATTTTACAAAGCTAATCAAGTAAAGTTGGATTTTTTACTACAAGTAGTTGAAATGCCAAACTTGAGGAAATACTGACATCTTGTGGAAAACACCTGAAAACATTTGCTTTCAAATAGTGATTATTTATAATTTTGCCTTTACTTTTATCAATTTTAAAAAGTTTTCCTTGGATTAGAGAAAGGACATCACTCATGAGGCATCTGCTTAGCATGTACGAGGCACCAAACTAAATCCCCTACACTGTATACACACCTCTGGACTTTGGCAGATTTTAGGTTTAATCTTATTAATGCTCAAGGATCAAACAGAATTCTTTATAGTAAATGATACAAAAATACCAAAGAGATTACATAAGAGTCACAACTTATTGAGGAATTTAAAACCTTCTTTGACAAGATTTTCATTGTGCATGTCAGACATGCAATTATGTTATAGCAGGAATAAAAATGGGAGAAAACAAATCACCTTGGGGACCAGAAAGATAGCTCAGCGGACTAAGCACCTGCTTAAGCAAGCACAGGGACCAGCGAACAATCCCACATGCTGCACCGGCCCTACCCCCAGGCATGCTGAGCTGACCAATGAGGCCGTGCTCCGAGAGCTGGGGAGGCTGAAAACAAGAGGATCACTGTAAGTCCGAGCTACACAGTAAGACCCTGCACAAAAAGAAAAAAAAAAAAAAAAAAAAAACCTTAAGAAAAGAAAATCACTTTGACATGTTTTACATACCAAAAGAATAACATACCTGAAACTCAAAAAAACCTGTTTTCAAAGCTTCTTTAAACATCATCTTTTCATAGTTTTGATCTGTTTTTATAATTCCAGAATTTATTTCACTATTGAATAAAAAAAAAATAATTGGATTTAAAGATAATTTTATACACATACATAAAGCTACTCTAGATATTACTAAGCAGCAAAATGAGAATACCCCGAAACATTTAAAATTGCTCAATATGGAGACCTGTGGGTTAGCTCAGTTGTTTAAGCACGTGCTTATGCAAACACAGTCAGGAGCAGGATACCGTGGTTCAATCCCTCACTCCACATGTCTTACCAGACCAGCCTTTAAGGCTGCCTGAGCCAGCAAAAAAAAAAAAAAATCCTTCTCAACTTAAAAATAAATAAATAAGAGCCAGCCAAATAGCTCAGCAGATTAAAGTACCTGCACGTAGGTGGAGAGGCAGGGAGGCAATTCATTCCCTGGGCCCTGCTCCCAGGGTGTGCTGAGACAGCAATTGAGACTGGGCATGGTAGCGTGTACCTGTAATCCCAGCTCTTAGGAGGCTGTAAACAAGTAGATCACTACGAGTCTGATCTAGTAGTGAGATCCTGAACACCACATAGACCCTTCCCTAAAATACAAAAAATAAAAATAAAATTGTTCAATACAGTCTTTGTGTGTGTGTGTGTGGTGCTCAGTCCACCCTGGGGGCAGGGCTGACACAGTACATGCCAGGGATTGAATGGAGGTCCCTGTGCTTAGCTAAGCTTTAGTCCACTGAGTTATCTCGCTGGCCCAAACAGTCTTTTCTTTAACGCTGACTATTGTAGCCATTCTATTGTCTATCCACCCTGAGTACTATACTACCATCTTTTCAGGCTCCTATTTATGATAACGGTTAATTGCACTTGTTTTGTTTGAAAATTCCTTGATGGAAGCTTTATTATAAAGCTTAAATATGTATGAAAAGAACTTAACTAAAGTTGCAGACAACCTTTAATTATTGCATTGTGAATGACTAACACTAGAAAAAACTTTCCCTCACCACCTAGGGTACTTCTTAATTTGGCCTAATCCAGTACCAATCTTTTTTTCTTATCTTCTACTTCTGCCCTCCACACACTGGAAGTCAAATCTCAAATATCAGACCCTTTTCATGTCATATACATGTTCTTTCCTTTCCTTTATTTTTTAAGAAACCCAGCTCTTCCAGTCTCTTTGGTCTTGGCGGCACAAGCGAGACAATGAAGGGAATATCATCCTTTGGAAAGCATCGTTGTAAGATGCACACTGTGTGCCACCGCTGTAGCTCTAAGGCCTAACACCTTCAGAAGCCGACTTGTGGCATATGTGGCTATCCCACCAAGCGCAAGAGAAAGTACAAATGGATTGCAAAGGCTAAAGGCAAAATACCACCGGAACTGGACGAATGAGGCACCAAAAAATTGTATATTGCAGATTCAGACACGGATTCCATGAAGGAACGACACCAAAAGCCAAGACAGCAGCTGTTGCAGCATCCAGTTCATCTTGAGAATTGCAGCAATCACTCAAATGCTTTGGTTTTAAGAGATTTTTAAAAAAAAAAAAAGAAAGAAAGAAACCCAGAGCCACATATCTAGGAATTACCTTATTATTGCATTTACAATGGGCTGAGTGTTTGTCTCTCCTGCTAGACAAGAAAGAATTTTGTCTTACTCATCTCTGTAACACCAGTGTTTAAGAACATGAAGAGGCTGTCTTTTGAATTAAAAATAAAAATCTCCATTTTTCTTAATCTATTTTTCCTTTTCTGCCCTAGTCTAATGCAGGTTTTAGAGACAGAATAATGCATTCCTGTAACCCTACCTACTTGGGTGGCTAAGGTATGATGATCACAAGTTCAAGGCAGCGTGGACAAAAAAGGGAAACCAGGTCTCAAAAAAAGAGAAACAAATTCATAGCTTGAAACAAATTCAAGTTTTCAATACTAGCTTTCAGGCATTTAGGCTCAGTTTCTTTATCTACAAAGCAAAGCTAATAAAGTAATACCTTTATAAAATAAGGGTGTGTTTTTAGGCTAAAACCAGGTAAGAGATGCAAAGTATTTAACATAGCACCCGGCACAAGGAAACCTTCAAGGAATAGTAGGCATCATTATCATCTAATTTATTTTATGAAAAAAAAAAAAAAAAGTTAAAAAATTCACTAAGCAACTCTACAAAGTGGTTGGGACCTGTAGATTACCTGGCAAAAACTCTATCATTGAAAGTGTTGGCAGGACCACTTCTTAGGCTGTCCCAGTTGGCAACCATTTCTTTTACCCATTCCACCCAGGTATACAGACGGAGAATGCCCGCATCAGCCATGGTTTCCACAAAGTTGGCATCTTCAACAGTGTCACCAGCATCAGCAAGAGCCAGGCGCATTCCTGAAGCAAGGGAAAAAATATTGATGAATTAAAATATGGATAATGAATATCAATCGTATACCCATTGGGGTATACTACTAACCCCACAAATAAATTAAATATGTTTTAAAGTACTGTCCTAGATGAACAACAAAAATAAAATCACTGTTAGGGTTAGGGTTAAGGTTAGGCTTAGGGTTAGGGTTAGGAAAAAAAAGAAAAAATAAATAAACAAATAAAAAATAAAATCACCAACAGTAGGGTCCATAACTATGTGGTTGAAATATTTGAACCATCTGTATCAATCTGCATGCTTTTCATCAATATGCATTTCTTCTGAGGCACACTGAGTTATGAGATAAAGTGACCTTTAATGAGGCACAGGAAAAAAAACACACTGGGAAAAGATACACATCTCTTTGTGATTTCCCTATCAACATCTCAGCCTCATTTAGAGGAAGCAAAACATCACGATAGCTAATGCATGAGATCACACACTGCTGCCAATGTATACAAATGCATGTTTAGGGCTGGGGAGATGGCTCAGTGGAATAGGCGCTTCCCTGGCAAGTGCAAGGGCCGGAGTTCAATCCCCGGTTCTGCCAAAAATAAACAAATGCATGTTTAATTTCTCAGTACTAAAATTAGGTTCTTCCAAGTTTTTCTGTTACTGAAACAAGGGTTTTGTTTGTTTTTGGTACCAGAAATTAAACTTGAGACTTTGCACCTGACAAGGTGCTGAAATTTTAGTTTTCTGATTCTCATGTCTTAGTATTACCAAAACATTCCACTTGAATGGGCTGAGGACATAGCTCAGGGTCCTGTAGACCCTTCCCTTAAATATAATAAATAAATAAATAAATAAATAAATAAACTACCAGACCTATTTCTAGAATGAAACTGTGTCTTAGAGGCAAAAGATAAGGACATGTAATATTAAGCCAGATACACACTAAGTATCTTTCAGAACACACAAGAAATTAAAAGAATTTTTTTAGGTTTTTAAAGTAACTTTTTATTTTTTTTTGGCAGAACCGGGGATTGAACTCAGGCCCTTGGGCTTGCCAGGCAAGCACTTATTCTACTGAGCTATCTCCCCAGCCCCCTAAAGTAACTTTATACTTACAGAAAAACTGTAAAATTATAAAAAGTAGTACACAGAATAAATGTCTCATTCACCCAGCTTCCCAAGTGTAACATATAGCTATAGTATCAAAACCAGGAAGTTAACATTAGTCTAACACTGTTAAACAAAAAACAGGCTTTGCAAACATTTCTACTATTTTCTAATATCCTTTTATTCCAGGATCTTATCCAGAATTCTATATTGCATTTAATTATTTGTTTTTGAGACAGTGCCTCACCATGTAGCCCAGCCTGGCCTCAAACTGGCAGTCTCAGCCTCTCACGTGCTGATTATAGGCGACCACACCCAGCCCTGCATTTAATTCTTGTGTCCCCTTAGTCTCTTCAAATGTGACAGTTTCTCAGTCCTTTCTTGCCTTTCAAGACCGACATTTTTTAATAAATGTCACTTAACAAAACTGCTCTGAATTATATTTTTTGTGAGATATTTCCTCATGATTAAACTAAAGTTATGAACCTTCCATCAGAGTAATACAAATAACACAAAGCAGACGTTGTATTCTCTCAGTGTATCCTAAGAAAGCACATGATACTGATAGTACACTACTGGTTTACTAATCTTTATCATTTGGTTAATAAAGTCCTATGTACTAAGTTTCTTCACTATTATTTTTCCCTTTCTAATAAATATCTTGACAGAAATAATCTCAAGAATATGTAACTATTTTGTCTCTTCTGAAATTGTCACTGATTAATTTTAGCGACCATTTATGGATGTTGCCTATAATAATTATGACCATGTTGTTTGCCTAATGGTACTTTTATATTTCACCTTATTTCACAGTGTTCTACATTAATTAGACTTCAAATGGAAATGTCCCTACTACTTCACTATGGGGGTGGGGGGAGTGCTAGGGGACTGAGGCAGGCTCTTGCTGTATCATTCAGGCTGGCCTTGAACTCACTGTATAGCCCAGGATGGCCTTAACCTTGCAGCATCCTCCTGCTTCAGGCTTCTGTAGGCTAGGATCACAGGAGGACACCACCATGCCCAGCTAATTTAGAATTTACTATACTCACTGGACATAACCCAACACTACCACTATTAACTTTGTTTTCTGAAGTATCCCAGCAGGAGTCACTAGAAGCTCCTTCAGGTTGGTTCCTGTGTCTTTTCATTGTATCCCCAAAGGCTTGGGATATAGCTCACTTGCTTAGTTAACTAGAGACACCATGGTTCTAGCAGTCAAAGCTATACAAAAAGGAATACTCATGTAGTGTCAGTCCCTCCTTAGCTTTAACAGCTAAGGTCCATTCTACCCAAGCCCATCCATCCCACAGATAACTAATCTGTCTGGATTCTAGCTCATCATCTTAAGCTAAAAAAAAAAAAAAAAAAAGCACAAACATATGTTCATTTCTGCTACTTTGGTAAATAAATAAGGCACATACTATGTTAATTTTTTACACAGTTTACTTTTTTGTTTTTGCTTTATTTTCACTTAAAAAATATATCTTGGCTGGGTGTTGTGGCCCACACCTGTAATCCCAGCACTCAGGAGGCTGAAGCAGGATTGCTGGTTACAAAAGTGAGTTCAAGGCCAGCCTGAACTGTATGGTAAAACCCTGTTTCAAGAAGACCTCCCTAAAAAAATGTATCTTGGCTTCTCAGGAAGCTAAAGCAAGAGGATTCCCAAGTTCAAGGCCATCCTAGACAATTTAAAGATACTGTTTCCAATAAAAAAAAAAATGACTGGGAATATATTTCAGTGCAACAGAGGGTCTCTGAGTTCAATCCCCAGTACTGGTAAAAAATATATAAGTTTTATATGTAATTATACATATAATATAGAGTTGTTTAAAAAATGTGAAAGAACTCTATAAAGGTTTAGAGTGATTTCTAAGATCTTATTTTAATAACTACACATTGGCTGTACACATTCCTATACAGAAACACCTAGGTGACAACAATATTTTCCAAGATAATCAATGCTATAGTGAAAAACAGATATGCTTTTATATTGGTGGAGGTACACCTTCAGGGTAAATAGCTAGAGGGGGACTGTAGGGCCACGAAGACAGCTGAGTGTGATGGTACATACCTGCCCAGCACTCTGGGAAACCAAGATAGGAGGCTCAAAAGTTTGAGACCAATCTGCACAATTTGTGAGACCTTATCTCAATATAAAAAAACAAAAAAAGGCTGGGACCGTAGCTCAGTGTGAAAGCCCTGGATTCAGTCAACAGTAACTCAAGAAAAAAATAAAATAAAATTTTGTTAGAAATTTTGTCTCTGGATGGCTGTATCAAATTTGCCTTGTCACTAGCAATGTATGAGAGTAAGTACATATGCAGAGAAAGTGATGATTCTATCAAGTGAGAAAAAATGGGCAGGGAGATTAGAAAAGGGAGCATTTTCAAAGGCACATGCTTTTTATGTTTTCTGAATTTCATATCATCTGGATGTATTACCTACTCAAAGTAAAGCATATTTCTAAAATATATTCTAAGGAATAAAGATAAATACACGTCCAATAAAAGAAAAAAACAAACCATGAACTCCAACTGAGCCAGCCATGAGTAACTAGAAGCACCATGATGATCAATGAGTAGCTCAGGAAGACATGTACACTCCCTCCAGAACACCCAGCATTGTACATTTCTTCTCTTCATGAAATACTACTAAATGTAACAGTGCTCAAGCTAGGTAAAATTTTTTCTACAAAAAATAAATGGTTGCACGTTCAAATCATCTGTGAAAACAGCAAAAACAAAATATCTTGGAAAAGCTGCTTACAAACTAAGTATTTCTATAGAACTCTAGAATCTCAGCAATTAAATTATAGTGAGTCTCATTTAAAAGATGACTTTTACCTCAGATATAACTTATTCCTGAACAGATATAAATCTTACATTTGTTTATCTGCAAAGAAAATATACTTATTTTAAAACTTTATTAAAAGCAAGAGAAAAAATTAAAACACCAATTTTACCTTGTCTTGTATAATCTAAGGAGAATCAGACCTATGTAATAGCAATAAGAAAAATGTATATTGTACTCACCGTCAGCAGAAAACTTGTCAACAGCTTGAGCCAAAGTGAGGAAGTTCCCTGTGGATTTTGACATCTATAAGAGAAGGTCAATGATTATGAATTAACAAACACACACACACACACACACACACACACACACAAGCCAAGTCAGCGAAATCAAATTCAGTAGGTTGGCTATCATGAGATTTAAAAAAAGGAATCTAGAGACTGGGCATGGTGGCACATGCCTGTATTCCCAGCTCTTGGGAGGCTGTAAACAGGTGGATCCCTCTGAGTCTGATCTAATAGTGAGACCCTGAACACCCTGTACATCCTTCCCTAAAATTAAAAAGAAAAAAAACCACATTAAAAAAGAAAACTAAAACCAAAAAAAAAGCAATCTAAAACAAGAAATAAGAGGGACAATACAGCTTAGTGATAGAGCGCTTGCTTAATGTGCATAAGGCCCTATGTTCAAGCCCTGGTACCACAAATAAAACAAAACAAATAAATTGCACACAAAACAGGATATTTTACAGGAATTTTAGAGATGCAAACTTTAGAGGTCAACTGAAGTTGATCCAATGAAGTGCCTTCTTGTCTGGGAGACTGAACTAATCAGTGACAGAGCTAAGTCAGGGATCCCAGCCTGACACTGAGTCCCTGCACTTTCCTCTAGTCTCTGTTGCCCCAGGTAATGGTGGTAGGGGGGCATGGACATGTGGACCAATTCCACTATCATTGGAACATTTCAGCTAAGGTCAGGTCAAGCTCTACAGCATCCAGAGACATTCAGAAACAGAATGGAGGCGCTTATAAGGCTAGTTAGGATTTTTACAACCTTCCTATCATCACAGTAACAATACTTGTTTGCTTAAGCTGTACCCCACCCTAGGTCAAGCATCTGGCAATCTCTAATGTTTTAAATTTTTTATGTTATCATAACTTTGCTGATACAAAGAGTGATTTTTTTTTTTTCTTTTTTGGCAGAACCAGGGATTGAACTCACACCCTTGCGCTTGCCAGGCAAGTGCTTACTCTACTGAGCTATCTCCATAGCCCAAAGAGTGATTATTGTATCAATTTTCTATAATATGGCAATAAAGCATCTTATTCTAACAAAGTCAGTATTAATACAACAATGTTCTGTTAGATTAATATTTTTTTTGTTTTAAGTGGGGATTAAATCCAGAGGCTATGCTCTGAGCTACATATCCAACCCTTCTTATTTTATTCTGAGACAGGGTCTCACTATCATGACTAAGCCACCAAGTTGCATAAACTGGGCAAAAGTGGGTGATCTTCCTGTCTCAGCCTCCCAGAGTGCTGGGATTACAAGCATGTGTCACCAAAGCCAGCATTGTTTTCTCTTTTTTTTTCACAAATAGGACTTTATCACTATTAAAAATCTGGATCTTAAAAGACTCTTGGACTGGTGGTTCATATCCATCAACTCATTCAACTTTATTTTTTATTTATTTATTTGTGTGTGTGTGTGTGTGTGTGTGTGTGTGGCCAGCTTAGCCCACCAGGGGGCGGGGCTGGCTGGCATGTGGTGCTGGGGGATTGAACCGTACTCCCTTTGCTTTGCTAAGCTTGTTCTAAGTAGGTGCTTTAGACCACTGAGCCATCTCACCAGGCCAACTCATTCAACTTTAGCTCCAGTCTCATCCCCAGTAGCCTTTCCAGAGCTACTACCTTCACTATGAAGTTCCACAAGTTTTTCCAATTCAAACGGGCTTCTTCAGCAGTTTTACTTTTCTGATGAAGACATCAGGAAGAGGGTAGATACATTGGCAAGGCTTTTCTATGTCTTTCTCAATGCTGTCTGGAACCAGTTTATGGGCCACTTCCATCAAGTCGTTTCTCACATCTCTCAGGTCATGATTTCCATCATCTTCTTCCAGATCTGGCGGACCTGTTGGTGCTGAGCGTAAGAGGCCTTCCGTATCTGAATGTTGCATTTTTAGTAAAGCCAACATGGAACAGACGAAGCAAGTAATCATCAGTAGTCTTGACATCCACATAAGCTTTGATCATGGTCTGCCATTTTTTGACCATGGAATACATTTTGTCATGGGTGAGATCTATGCCTTGGAAGTTAGTCAGGCAGTTTTTGCCCTGATCATCTTCAATAATTGGTTTGAATTTTCTAAAGGCAACTTCATCATTCTGCAGATCAGCAAGGCTCACTTCAAACACTTGACCTTTGAGCCCATCAGATGCAACTTTGGTTCCTTGAGTTCTGATGACAAGTGTTTTTCCAGTATTTCTTATGTTGAACATAGCTGGTGTCTTCACATCATACCAGTCTTTTTTAGAAAATGGATCAACCACTTTCTTCTTCACTCCCTTTCTGCCGACTTTTATAAAGTGCTTGTTGTTGTCCACCATCTCGGTGCTGCTCAGAGCCAAAGGGGCAGGGCTGGCAGCGCATATGATGCTGGGGATTGAACCACAGTCCTCTGTGCCTGCCTGTTTGCCTAAGCAGGCGCTTTAGATCACTGACCTATCTTGCCAGCGTATAGCATTATTTTATAAGGTAAAAAAAGAGTGCCCTTCTCTAACTGGCACAAAGGTGTTAAAGGGGCAGCAGGAGCTTTGTCAAGTACTCATAATCTCCTGTCAAGGACCCTGATTAATAAGATAAAGGTCTACGTAGACTTTATAAAAAAAAAAAAAATCACATATTATTAGTAGGAAGAGCACTGCTGGTGGTAAAGCAATATAGAGAGGGACAGTACACTACAGTATCTGGAAAGAAGCACTGAAAAACACTTAAAAGCCTGACAAAGCCAAATCTTACGATTCTATTCATTTAATGGCCATATACTCATTTCAGCAGCACATATACTAAAATATTCATTCATTTAGTGGCCAATAGCATAAGATTAAAAAAAGCATCAAACCTTCTCAGTAAGAAAGATCATGGTGGGGCTGGTGAGATGGCTCAGTGGTCTAAAGCACCTACTTGGAACAAGCTTGGCAAAGCACAGGGACCGCGGTTCAATCCCCCAGCACCACATGCCAGCCAGCCGCACCCCCTGGTGGGCTGAGCTGGCCACACACACACACACACACACACACACACAATAAATAAATGTTAAAAAAAAAAAATTACTATTAAAAAAAAAAAAAGAAAGATCATGGATCACGATACTGAGATTTTTATGCTTCCTAACGTGTCTCTGTTCCAGCCACAATCCATTGTCAACTGTTACTCCAAATACCAATGTTACAGTAGGTACATTTTCTTCATCTCATCCCTCAGTTAATACTTTATATTCTCCATTTGCTCAGTTTTAAAAATTACAGTGTAATTTATAGTGTTAGGCCCAAACAATTCAAATTAGTTTTTAATTGACTAGTTCACATTCCTTTTTTTTCTATTAAAAAAAAAAAAAAAAATGCAGCTCCCTAAATCGAGGAAGACTTCCACAGAATTTGGGGTGAATGTGTGTATTTTTTTATTTTGGCTTTTGAAACAGAGTCTTGCTACTCAGTGCAATCTGGTCTTAAACTTATGTAGCACAGGCTAGTCTAAACCTGCAGGCAATCTTGCTGCCTCAGCCTCCTACAGTGCTGGGATTATAGGCACGCACTACAGTGCCCAGCACTAGGGGCTCCACCTTCCCAAGTCAATGAGCCTTACCTTCTCAGAGTTGAGGAGGAGATGTCCATTTGCTCTCACAGCTTTGGGCCATTTGTCACTTTGCAAGTAAACATTTAAAGACAAAATTTAAAGAAAGATTGTGGTTTAGACTTAAAATTTTGAGGTAAACATTAATAGACTCATAAAAGTTTGCTAAGACAATGTCCAACAGTATTCACTGTACTCCTGGTTTATTTTGTTTTGGTACTGGGGACTGAATCCAGGGCCTTGCATGCACTAGGCAAGCACCTTACCACTGAGCTACACCCACAGCGGCAGCCCTTTCTTGAAAAGGAAACAAATGAAACCAACCAAAGGACTAGGTATATAAATTATGATACTAACATGCTGTAAATGATATAACTATTTAAAATATATAAGGGATACATGACTATAAAAAAGATATTATGTGGGCCGGCCAGATAGCACAGCGGACTAAAGCACCTGCTTCAGCAGAGCACAGTGGCCAGGGTTTGATACCCCATGTGCCGTGCCAGCCCCGCCCGCAGGGTGCACTGCGATTGCAACTGAGACTGGGCACAGTGGCGAGCACTTGTAAACCCAGTGCTTAGGAGGCTGAAAACAGGAGAATCACTATGAGTCTGATCTATGTAGTGAGACCCTGTACTAAATACAGAAAAAAAATATATTATGTGAAAAAAATGAGACATACTAGTGTATACAATGTGGTATCATTGCATGAATTTAAAAACAGAAATGCCTGATGTCCACTGTATCAATAAACATTTTTTCCAGAAGTAATTTCAAGAAAGAAGAGCAGTGATGAACTCTGGGAACTAGAATATCATGCATGAAAGTTCACTTTTAAACCATGTTCACTCATTCATTCCAGCAATGAGACCATAGACCCATGGAATGAGTTTTGCAGCCAGGTTCAGCCCCTCACTAGCTCCCCAGTAACTGGGATTAAAGTTACGTGTCACATCTGGCTACAACTACATTTTAAACAATAGGAAAAAATATATATGTAGTATATAAGAACAACATTAAGCTTATTTTATTCCTCTACCTCAAAATCTTCCTGTCATTTTGTTGTTGCTTTTTCCTTTTGATTTTTTGAGATAGGGTCTTGCTATGTAGTTTGGACTGGTCTTGAACTCAATATGTTGCCCAGACCAGCACCAAACTCATAACAATCCCCATGCCTCAGCCTCCCAAGTGCTGAGATCACAGGCATGTGCCACCATGCCTGGCTTCCTATTATTCTTGAGGGCTGAAAAATAAAGTATCATTCTAAATACAAGAAGTCAAGTGACAATTAAATGCCAGTACCTTGTACTCTTAGTGAGAAATTTAAAGACAACAATATGCAATGTATTAACCATGTTACCCTCCTATTACCTTGTTTTGATATTTTGGGGTTGTTTTCTCTTTAAAATTAAAAACAAAGAAGTCCTATAATATTCTTTTGGTTTTATGAGACAGAATCTGGAGCAACTAGAGGGAAAGACAGAGATATATCTGGGCCAAGAAGGAAGAGGACAGAAGAATCAGTCTGGAGAGTGTGGACCCAAATTCTAGTCAGAACACTGCTACCAGCAAAAGCTAAACCCATAGCATTCCCAATTGTACAGGGCAGGTTCATTCCAGTTCTGACACTGCACATCTATCTTATGCTGCCTCTCTTCTGGCATCTAAGAGGTCAGATGGACTACCAGCACACCAACACTGTACTTGAAACAGGACTTGCTGTGGTAGCTTGAGGTAGGTTATGAGGATTTCTATATTCATAACAGAGAGGAAAGGTGTGCTTTCTGCATTAGTATACATTAGTATAAGAAAAACAAAGTCACTAGCAAATCTAGCTATACCTTCCACAATAATTTCTCAAATATTTAAAATAACAAGATATCTCCATTGATATAAAAATCAGTCCATATCTATTTAAATATTTACCTTTGTTCCATCCAGATCGCCACATGATTATAAAAGAAATATGAAAGATGATTTGGAATAAGATCCTTGCCAGAGACTCGAAGATCCACAGGATACCAAAACTCAAACTCCTGCTTTAACTGATCTAATTTTTCCTTTGAAATCTGCGTCTTAGGAAATGGAGCATTCTTGAAGAAAATATAATCCCAAACTTCCTTAGTCATTTGCTGTGGTCTGTATTAAAATAAAACAGTGTATTTACAGTCTGACCCCAGAACCTTTCCACTGAAATATATCCCCAGCCTTTTTCTTGAGACAGGGTCTCAGCTGCTAAACTGCTCACAGCTATGTCTGAATGTGTGCTCCTCCTGCCTCAGTGTCCCAAATCCCTGCTGGGATTAGTTATGTAACACCACATACCTACAACCTAGGAATCTTTCTTAGTGTGGTTATAATAACAAATAAAAATTTGCTCCCATTAAAGTGAAGGGATAATAATAATATAGGAAGGGTTACATATTAATTTGTCTTCACCTCACAGTAAGAAAACATGACAAAATTATCCTAAATGAACTTTTTAGAAAATTAAATATAAGAGAAACTTTTCAATACATAAATACGATGACAATGCTTACTAACAAACTACATTCCTTTGTCTTATCTACTAACCTTATACCCAGTGGGGATTCAGCCTGTCCTCGCAAGTTCCCTCCTTGTAACAGGTGTGCAACTGTGTAAAACGCCATGTAAATAGTGGAATCTGAGAGGGATTCAATCAGCCACTGCTCATCCCAAGGCAGGCGAGTGCCTGTAATAAAGAGAATTAATGCTAGAGGAACCTTAAGACACTTAATTCACAGAACTCATTATTTTTAACAAGAGGACGGCTTTTACAAAACTACTTAATTAAGGTTTTGCTTTATTTTGCTTTGGTGGTACAAGAATTGAACCCTGGCCTGTTATACCACTGAACTGTATCCCCTCTTTATTTTTTATTTTGAGAAAGGGTTTCACTAAATTGCCCAGGTTGGCCACAAACAAGGATTACAGATCTGTGCCACCATAACCATCTAGAAGTTCTTAAATTCTATTTGAATAATTAATAAAAATGATAGACAAAAAACAAAGTAGTGACGCTCTAGAGTCTTTTTGTTTAAAAAATCGCCATGGGGCTGGGGATGTGGCTCAGTGGTAGAGCTCTTACCTTACATGCACAAAGCCCTAAATTCTAACCCCAGCACCCCCCCCCCCCCCACACACACACACAAATATAAAAGCTATGTGAGTTAGAGGTGACATATTTCTGTAAGACTGATATTAGGGGACCACATCCTAGATTCCTTCTTCTCACCAAAACCTGTTACTTCCAATTAAGAAGACACTGAGAGGGTAAAACAATTAAAATGTATGTGAGCTGTGAAATAAATAGGCAAAGCCACCCAAACAGAAGTGCTTCAAGTTTGTTTACCTAAGCCATAAGATCTAGAGCAAGCATGTTCTTGTAGCCAGTCTAAGGAAGCTTCAAAATTCCTCCTGGTCTCCTCACAGAATCTAAAAGGAGGGGAGAAAAAAAAAAAAGTGTTTCCCTCCACCTTTACAATCTTTCATATTCTCACTTCCTTTCCTCTCTCCTCATATTCTCCCATCTTACGTCTCCACATTCTTCAAACACTGGGATGTCTGTTTTTTCCAGTTCTCTTCTCCATAATCCAAGTACCTGGAGTAAACAAATGCATTTCTTTAAGGTCAGAGATAAGCAAAGTGACTAATTAAACTTTCTTGCTACAAAAGAGACTAACCATTGGTCACACAGAGCCACTACACATTCATCTGAAGACCTGGACATCACCTGTTTCTCTGGTTCCATATAAATATATGCATCGCCCTAAGAATAAATAAAAATGCATTCAATATTATGCCTAATCAATCTCCACTCTTCATAGTGATGTTTTCAGAAATATATTTTAAAGGAATATAATGTCTCTAATAAACCCCATTTTTCATTATACAGTCTTCTTTTGGCGGAACTTACCTGTTTTTCCTTTTACACAAGGACTGAGGCTGAAAAAACATGCAACTTCATCAAGCAGCTCATTTTCCCTAGCTGCCTACTCCTTTTCAGTAAAAAGTGAAACAGTATTAGCAGTTTCCTTTCTTATAATCTGGTAGCCTATATATAACAGCTTTCTACACTTCTTATAAAAATATAAACAGGACTTCCCTGGCAAGTGCAAGGGCCTGACTTCAATCCCCAGTTTTGCCAAAGGAAAAAAAAAAAAAAAAAAAAGAATAGGGTCATAA